ATAAACTATTTGTCCTAACATTTTTAAAACAATTGGATTAGATTTGAATTTTTAAAAGGTATACGGTTACTTATGACTGGCACTGTATATAATAAATTAAAAAATATTTCATATTTATTTATTTATTTTATTATATTTAATAAGCAAAATAATTATTTAATAAGATTAGATCAAATAATAATACATTATTTTAATGGTAATTTTTTTTTAAAAAAAACAATTTAAAAAAATTTTAATAATTAATAAAATCAATAATTAACAAGTAATAAAAAATAATACAATATAAAATGTAATTGTTTATTGTATTATATTTTTTTCCAAGATCAAAACACCTAATAATAAATAAAAATATAAAATAAACTTACTAAATAGGTTATACAGTATTTTAATTTATGCATGCTTTTTAATAATCTTAACATATTGTTTTTTTTACACAAGCTCGAATTTTACTTGTAAGAAAGATTTGTTTGATGATAGTATCCATTTTTGGAAAACGGGTACAAGAGATAATATCGTCATGCATGTTTCACAAGATTTCGCATCTCAAAAACGAAATCATTCGATGTGGAATCGTACGAATTTCATTTCATGAATGAAATCATTCGATTTTTTTTTATGCCGAATTGTGGCACCATCAAAAAGTTATTTATTAAAAGAAATGTAGATTTTTTTATTATGGCTGCAACAAGTGAGACGGTCAACGGTAGCAACACCACAGATCTTGCTGAAAAGATTATTGCTGAAAATACCGAAAATGCTGAAAATGTGACCGAACAACTTCCTCCTCACGCTTTTGAACTATTTCTTGTCGACACTAAAACGGTATGTAAACTTCATGTTGTAATTTCAATATTTCTTTCATCAAGTAATATTTGACTTTATACTTTTACAGTCATTAATTGAATTTTGGAATCGAGAATTGAATAAACTTCCTGCGAAGGTTTTGACCAGGGATCCTACACCGTGTTTGAAAGTGCAGGTTCATAATACACCTTTTCAGGAGTTATTGAAGACTCACCAGGCTGAATGTATGGTATCACCTGCAAATAGTTTTGGCTTGATGGA